GAGTCGCGAGAGAAAGTCTCGCGTGGGCTCCGGTTTGCACGGCAAATTGGTCTAAAATTAATGCGCTTGAGTTGTTCAGCTGGTTAAAAGCGGTTTTAACACCTGTTAATCACGTGTCTAACTCCAAGGTTTGGAGGTGTCTAAAGAGCACGCTCAACGGAAACCACAAGCGGCTTACTGCAGAGGTTTCTCACGGGGCGTAAACAAACCAAATACTCAACAGACAAGCCACGCGAAAGTCTTCGTAAACGCTAAAAGCCATGCGACAGGGGCACCTAACGAGAATATAGTTCAAAACCACTTACACATTAGTATTGTTAAACGGCTTTTAGCATTTAAACGGTAGATATAGGCATATTTTTATCCCCTAAAAATTTCTCATCTGTTCGGATTTCATAGCTGAAAGTCTAGTGATCCGAAAATTATAGGGATCAAAACTTACCTTTTCGAAAATTTCAGCCAGAAAAAAGGCTCCCGACAATTCTAGGTGACCTTTTTAGGGTAAAAATCCGTTTAAAATAGGCAATTATACCATTTTTAGATGTTCGAAAATCCTAGGAGAGGCAGGCAAGCAAGAAATTTTACAACAAATGTTCCGAAAATTCTAGATCTCAAATGGTCTCCCGAACAGATATTTTCCGATAATTGACGTTGGGGGCCCCTGATGCGAGAGAGAAACCTCTGCTCGCGGGGTATTTTCCATACATTTTTAATTTTCAATCTGTCGAAAAACCTTTTCATTACGCATTACAGGCCTAAAATTCTCTTTAAGTCCATAACAGAAAAGCCCTCAAATGCCTCTAATTTCCAACAACTGTCGAAATGAAATAATCTCGGGCTAGCGAAGCCCCAAGTGCTGGCAACATCTGAGGGCTTTGGACGGCTTCCCCAAGGTCAGGGGAATTTGGTAGTATTTGGAGTGAAGTTTCTAACAAATCCCCGCCTTTTCTTGGGGTGGCGGAGGTGGGGTTTACATTACCTCCTGAAAAGCAGGTTATCAATAACAATAACTTTTGATAGCAACACTTTTTTTAATGGAATTTGCAGGTGCAAGCAAAAACAATCGTGGTCATATCCTTTACTCTTGCATGACCGCAGTTGAAAATCGTTTTGAGAACAATAGTGTTGTTCAACCCAATTCTATTTTAGGGTTCAGCTAAAAGCCAACGACAATGTACTTTACTTTGTCGAAATTAATGCAAGGAAACAGCTGGCTCACGTGCAAATCCTCAAGCAAAACGTAAAACCCTACCCCGAGGACTGATAAAACAAAAAAAGACAAAACAACAACAACAACAACAACAACAACAACAACAAAACTTCTCAATCCCCCACCCCACTGAAAAAGCAATGTCTTTTGAATAATCCCCTTCATTCCGCGCTAAACCCTACTTTGTCTCGGAGTAGGGGGAAGGGAGGTGGGGAGGGGGTTGTTTAATACGCCAACATTTCAATTTAATTATTTTTCGTTTTCTTCTGAGCTGGGCTCTATAGTAATTTAACACAAAACGAATACGTAATATATAGATTTAGCCAGGGCTAAAAGCGAAGCTCTGGTTAATAATACGTGTAAACAAAAAAAAATCGTGTAATGCTAAACTAGGACGACAATGAAAATGGCTTCAAGACTAATAGATCTAATTAGCAAAAAAACAAATTGCACGTGCAGCACACTTTTTCTTCTTTTTAGCAAAAAACAAATTTGCACGTGCAGCACACTTTTTCTTCTAATTAGCAAAAAACAAATTTGCACGTGCAGCACACTTTTTCTTCTAATTAGCAAAAAACAAATTTGCACGCTTCTTTGTCTTTCTCTTGCCGTTGTTTTGCACGACTATAACGCTGTTTTGTACGACTAAAACGTCAAAATTCGTAGTTACGCATTATGTTTATGGAGGAATTGTCGTAGATGCTTACCCAATATCTTGTTTCCTGTGTTCATGCTCGCTTTTATTTTTCACTGCCGCTCATTTTCGCCTTGCTGGCCGCTAGCATTTCTCATTTTCTCACCGCCGCTTTGAATTACCATGTTTTTCTTCCTACGAAATTCGTCTCCTTTGTTTTCAATAACACGCTCTAGCTCTTTCTCCGTTATCCACGTTAGTGTAAACATAGAAAATAACGCCGAAAAAGACACGACCTTTTTGTTGTTTTTTCTTTCTAAAAGTCTCGGCGGCCATGTGATTTCCTTCCAAATAAACCTTGAGTTGCATTTGGGTTGCCATACTTGTTGATTGAGTTTTTACATTGGTATGACTGTGGTGCGGACGGACGGTCGGGCGGTCGGTTTACGGTCACGTCGGATGGGTAGATTACCACATTCCCTTAGCTATGGGGCTCCGCCCACGCGCGGCGCAAAGCGCCGCGCGTGGAGCTCCGCTATTAAGTAGAAAAACACTAAGAAAAAGAGAGAGCACCAGAGACAGATTGTTTTCTTCAGGAAGATTTGCGTAAAAGGGTTAAGAGGTGAATGTCGCTTAAACTCGCTTCAGCGCGGAAATATGCACGGAATGATATGGGCTCCTGCAGATACCGTCTTTTCATAATCTGCCCTCGATTACTTAAAGGGGTTGTAATGTACCTAAACGAAACAGATAACCAGACGATATTTTCCACGTTTTGTTTTATGTTGATTTGATTTGATTTAATTTTATCCTGGTTACGGTTCGTCCGTTTTCTTGACAAATAATTCTCGTGCGCCATATCTTGACATGTAACTCGAAGAATACCTTGACGTCAGTTACCTGTTCTTGAACCTTGCTAGACAAATCTTAGAGCAATTTAAAGTATTGTTGGCTCCGCGGGAATAGTTATTTAAATTAAAACTAGTTAGTGGAGGAATACTTTCACTAAAATGTGACAGTGCATTCAGATTGCTATGAGGAATCAATTTATTGTGAAACGCATTCAGCAAAACGAGACTTCACCTGAGACTGATTTTTTTCTTGTTTTCGTAAGATTCGCATTAAGCACAGAAGCTGTTATGGGAGTTTTAAGAGGTGACTGTCCCTAAACCTCGCTTAAGCGTTGAAATGTGCCGCTGCCAAGAAAAGATTAACTTTTCACGAAATCTGTCCTCGATTTTGTAAAGAGATGTAATGTGCCTAAACAAAAAAGGATGGTCAGAGAAAGTTTTCCACTTCTTTCTCTTTTGATTCCTGGTTTAAAGTTACCTGCGTGCAGACGTCTCCTATTTCCTTTGTTGCACGCAGGCAAGGTTTAAAAGTGTGTTAGCAAGAAGTTGTCGTGCGCCGTGATGTTTGCATAAAATTCTTAAAACAAACCTGACATCAACTTACTTTTTTAAAACCTCTCTAGGCATAACTTTCAGTTTTACGTATCGTTTTCTCTCAGAAGATTTGCGTGAAGCTGAGAAGCTGTATTGAGATTTTTAAGAGGTGACTCTCTCTTAGGGACCAGTCATTATTTTTCGCCTGGGAAGAGGGGAAGGATTTGGGGCTAAATAAGGTGAAATTTAACCGATCCGCCCTTTAAATGTTGCTTCTCTGAAGTGATCCCCCTGGTAGCATTTGATGACTTTTGCCACCCCCCACCATGTCTTCATTTTCCAAGCAAATTTAAGTGGTTCCCCCTCTGAATCCTTCCAAAGTTTTTAGTGATCCCCCCTTTTGGGTTCTCAGTAACGACTGATCCCCCTTTTGTTTTCCTAAAAGTCAAGTTATACCTCCCAAAATCCCCCCCCTCCTCCCAGACTAACCCTTAACCTCGCTTTAGCGCGGAAATCTGCAAGTACATATGCCAAGGAAGATCGTCCTTTCACGAAATCTGTTCTCTCGATGTTTTAAATGTGAACAATCAACAATAGTTAGAGGAAGTTTTCCATTTTTTTTTATTCACAAATTTACATAAAGAGACTGTATAGACCAATTGTTTCGTGAGAGAGATTTGCGTGTAGCACAGAATCTGTTTTCAATTTTAAAGAGGTTGGAATGTTTTTTCACAAAGTCTGACTTTAAAGGTTAATGTACCTAAAAAAAGAAGAAGGAAAAAATAGTTTGGCATATATTTTTTATTAATTATTATTATTATTTTAACTTTTTAATAGTTTTTTTTTTCAGGTCAGCAATTTTGTTCATGTTTTCTTTTCTTTGTTTTGGTACTCAATCGTACGCAGTGTACAAAGTTGAAAAAAGTTTGAAATTGCTCAGGCAAAGTACACGTTCCCTAACTTGGGTTGGATTGTTTATTTTATATACTGAGATGCTACTTATCGAAAATAGTGAGCTTACGGCGAACACTCTTTATAATTCAATTGTAATTTTCTCCAGCTAAATTATAAAATAACAACTTAAGGAGCTGATCTCACTACTCAGCGTTAAAACGACTGATTTGGATGAGATTAACGTACCTTTAACCCTGCAATTAAAACCAGGTCTCAAATATTTTAAAATCCTTATTACTCCAAAACAAGTAGACTTAAAATGTAGCTTCAAAGCACACCCACTAAGTATTTGCGGGAGAGGTTTGATAAAGCAAGTAAAGCACTGTCAAAAGTGAAGACAATGCTGGCGAAACAAGTCTTCGTTTACTTCGCTTTTCAGGTGCTATTTTTTCAGCTCACTAAAGGTAAGTGTCTAAGCTATTGATTGATTCTTCGCTACTGAATTCTTACAGCTTTTGCAAGCGAAGAAACATTTTGTAAAATAACTCGACTATTCATGGAGTGTCAAAAATGACTGCTAACCCACAAATTTAAGAAAGTAGATTACAGAGAAAAAAATCCTAATTTTTTGTTTGTATCCGTTCTTAAATGCGAATGGAACGGTTTTTATTAAGATCCATTTCCAGTTTGGAGTTACTTTCAGCGTACGCTTCACCCATGAATTTGGACATGATGCAATCGCTTGGAGTCAACATGGAGTGGTTACAATAAGGTATATTTGTCTGTGCAATGAATGGATACAAGATCGATGCAGGGAACGCATACGCATAATAATGTTTTACTTCAATGCAATTAAAATACTTTTAACTTCTTTTGCATGTACGGTATTCAAGCGGATGTATTTCAAACTGGGAAGGTCAATATTTCCGACACATCCCAAAACAACCACGGCTGCCAGACCGTTTCTTTCAAAGCTCAGTTCCAGGGTTCGGGAGATGTAAAGGTGTTTGCAACGCTGAGCCATGGAAGCGAACATGTCAAAATCCACGACCCAGCGTCTCTTTGGGTGAAGTCAGTGTCCACATCTGGTTTTGATGCCTGCGTTCGTGAAGCAGGCAGTGGTTCTGGAGGAGCGTCGGTGATCAACTGGCTTGCCTTTCAAGGATCGCACCAAGGCATTGATTCAGAAATCGTTGAATTTGATGAATTCACCTCAAGAACCCAGTGCAAGAAGATATCGCTTAGTATCCAGAATAAGGTAAGCTGGTAAAGTAGGTGGATTTAATCAGTCATTTGTAACAAACGACCCATTCTGACTCGGGCAAAATCGATCAGACATGGAGGAAGGGGGCTAGCCTTCGCTCCTGGTAAGGGAATCCGGATTCCGGAATTCGGGAGAGTTTCGCCTGTGGAATCCGCAATCCCTGGTTTTTGAATCCGCAATATATCTCAAGGAATGCCACTAACGGTTGTAATCCGTAATCTAAGTTCCACTAAGTTCCACTCAGTACCTGAATTCCGAAATCCAAGGCATAGAATCCAGAATTCAGGACTGTCTTGGATTCCCTTACATGGGTCGACTAGCCTAAACCTACAATCGAGAATTCGGAAATCCTTTGCTTTTCTGTCGTTAACTGTATTAGGTCACTTAGAAGGAACTTTGAAGTGTGTTATATCAGCGTGATGTAGAATCCCAGACGGTACATGATCTTTTCTTCTAATTGTTCTTTTGCAACTCTGTCTTACTTAGGCGAGACCCCAAGTGTTTGTGACTGTTCTACATAAACATTCCGACCGACCGTTTGACTCCATGAATATTTGGCTAGAAGACGTCAAAACGGATAGTTTTGTGGTTTGCTTGAGGGAGTTTATGAGCTTCGACGGCATCCATTCAGCTCTCAAAGTGGTGAGTTTTAATCAGAAAACTCACGAGTTAAACGAGAAGTCTGAGGTGCACTAGCCTTTATTGCTCTTTTCGCGAAATTATCGCTCTTGTTTTGCGTGGCCAAGACGTAACTCCAATACATGTGGCACCACACACTACTATCAATAGCAAATTCTATATCTTGCTTCTTCTCCAAGTTATAGTTCAAAAATTAACATACCAACAACAACAATGACATCAAAGAAATTGATTCAGTGTTGTCTTAAGTGCTAGTATATTTAGGTTAGACAATAATACTCCACTAGTCTGCAAACGAATGTGTATATATTCATTTTTTTCCAGAACTGGCTTGCGTATGATGTGCTCCCGGCGTCTTGGAATTTTACTGAACGAGGAAAGCTTCATTTTTCTGGACTTGGTGCTCCAAAGGAAGAAAACAACTATGCTTTTTGTCAGGTTGGAATTAATAACAACAGTTTTCTATACGCATCTGATGAGCCTCTCTTTAGATTAGATCAGCTCAGACGAAAAATTGTATCTCTTATTTCATAGAGACGCTGTTGCGATATGTTTCGTGTTTCTAATAATGAATGTACGGCTTTCAATAAGGAACGTGACAAAAAAGGGTTTAAGGCATCGTTGATCTTGAATTCTGTTGCATACGTGTACGTGTAGAAAGTCCATCCACTAGCAGTCTGTATACACCCAGATGTTGCATTATAATCTCTTTTAAATTTATTTATTTATTTTAGAAAACTTGCAAAACTTTCTTCAATTTGGAAATGAGAGAGAAAACGTTGTTAATTACGCATTATTATTTAAGCAAATTAATGGAAATTATCTTACACGCAGAAAACTCTGCAATATTTACAATATTTCTTCAACTGTGGTTGGAATAAGTAGGTGATAGGCTTTCAATAAGGCTTTACCAATGCATTTTTGTGCAATATATTTTTTCAGGATTATAAATTCGAAAATCCATTTTACGAGCCACCTAGTGTCCTCGCGTGTGCCAGACATGACAACGTTACCAGCGAGCTGTGGATGAAGGCTGATGGTCGTTTTAGCAACGCTTTAAATGTTTGGATAGAGGTAAGCAATTTTGTAGACTGTACACAGTCAGCCATCTATCGTTTTTTTTGGTTTGAACAGAGTTCTTTTCTAATTGCCTTCACACTTCAACTACGTAAAAACGCTTGAAGTGGCACCGCTATATTCACCTCGGGAATCAAAACTGTCAATCATTACTTTCGCTTCAACGCCTGTTCTGTACTGCGCAATTGTTCAAGCGGGCGCACGCAGTTGAATTCAAATGTGGGCTTGAAATATAGTGACTATAAAGTATAGGATAATTGAGTAAGATGATTCTAAAGGTTTTTCTCTCCACACACTTTTCTTGCGTTTGGATTTCTTACCCCACTAAAGAAATCAAACCTTTAAAGACTTATTAGCTACTTAGACCTTGAAGCTAAGACGCAGAAAGCTCGATTATGTCCTTAATTGTTTTGAGTAAACTGAAGAAATCATTGAATTGCCAGATACACAGATTTAAATGTAATAAGCTCTTAACTTCATTGTTTAGAAATTCTATGAACAATTATGAAATTAACCCTATTCAGACCTATTTCAGGAAGGGGGAGGCGGGGGGGGGGGTGCAGAATCCCTTTAAGGTGAAAATATATTTAAAAAGTAAGGTGTCTTACAAAATCAAGAAGTAATAATCATCAACAATAACAGCTCGGTCATTATGACTTCATTTATTACTAAAATAGAACCTGGAACCATCCGCCATCTTAGATGCGCCATTTTTAATTAATTAAATGTATTCCATTTTAGGTAAAACCTGTATGAATCGAGGTAATCGTGATAGAACATTTGATCTGTGTGTACAAGGATGCTTCGAAAGCAAATTATAATCTGCAAGTTATGAAATTCCGGGAGAAGTAAACACTGTTGAAAATAGAACCCAGTACCTGCCATTTGTTCACTTTAAATTGTTCGCTGTCAAACCTCAATTGCTAATGGTAACGTCAATGTCGACGCACACGTCATGACGACTTTAAAATGTTCCCAGATAGTTTTTGGAAAATTCGCTAAGTTAGGTGGTCAAACAACGGATTTGAAGTTATTCAATTTGTTAACCGGCGGGTGCAAAAACCCCCGTCTGTTTGAATAAGGTTAATTTGACCAGCGTGGTAACTTAACTAATTTAAACAGTCACTTCAAGAAGAGCCATCGCATGGAACTGATCAGTATTTTTTCCAAAGTTGGTAGTAGTTACATCTGAATTTGATGTTATTTTCCAGGAGATCACTCGTTTGTCTTTCAAAGTGTGCATCAAAGACAGTCAGGGAATGAGCAAGTCTCACGATCCAGTTACAGTGGACTATGCAATTGTGGGAGGTATTTTCATGTTTCCATTGCACTTAATGCAGGGAGCCGTTATAGAAAAAAAAATTAGTTTAGATATGGAGTCCAAAAACAGTTTAAAAAAAGACGCTGCATTTACTGATGTATGTCGCATTTTTTGGACATATTGTAGACGACATACAATAGACGACTGTTTAACTGTGACAATAGACGGATCGAAACGCACCAATTACTGAGTACGAGTCTTCAAAGCCAATAACATCATCACGGCATAACTGACAGACGACCAATAACATCGCGACGTAATTGACCAATCAGATCAATAACCAGAGTATCATACCATTAACTGACGTGATACAACTCACTTTGAAGATGACTACCGGTTGGCGAAACGTCAGTCACTGTCAACAACAACAGTCCTATTCAGGAGTACGTTCACCCGGACGATCTAACTCATCCTACTTTTGAAATGACTCCTGGGTTCAAACCTTTCACAGCATATTGTAAAACTCTTAACAATTTTATCATCTTTAAATATTGCCCCGCGTGCCTAATGGAGTAATATTTTTCAGAAAAATGTATTAAGCACTTTACGCTTCAATAAGACGTCTGATAGGGGTTACTAAAGAAAACAATATGGTAAAATTCACGATTTTGTATTTTGTCTCAAAGATATTGACCCTTGCACAAATGTTACTTGTGAATACCATGCCATCTGCAAAGCTTTCTCAGCATTTGATGCCCGTTGTGTCTGTGATGACAACTGCCCGTCGTACGAGGAGCAAGTCTGTTCATCTAACTCGACAACATTCAAGAACAAGTGCTTTTGTCTGCTGGACATTTGCCAACGCAAAAGCAACCACACGCTTTATCATCCTGGCAGCTGTACAGGTAAAATTCTTTGGCTCTGTTTCATTGCTTGTTTCTTGCCTACTGCAAAACATGAGACAATCCAGAAGGCCTGAGTCAGGATTAAGCATTGCTTTTGTTTCCGCTTCCTCAGCGCATGTCCCTCTGCTCCCTCCACACACATACTTCCCATCCCCATAGATGAATTGATAGACAAATTCATACCGGCCTTTTCTTCTAGCTCTTGGTATCACTTAGACTTACTTTGTTAATTTGGGAATCTAATTTGCCGGATACAAGCTACCTGGATGTATCACTTTCAAAGGCCTTTTTTTTTTCCTGGCATTGAAGCAAGAACTCTTTCTTGTTTTTCTGCTCTTTTGTTTTAACTCTTTGTATTTGTATACTTCTCCCCTTAGGCTTTCCAGTTCAGACCGGTCGGGTTTCAATGGTAAGACGTGTAAAATCAGCTGAGACAGCCTGTAAATTGGTGAAATTTCCACCACTCTCCTTCTATCCTGACAAAGAAGTACACATGCAAGTAACGACCAATCACTGGAACATAAGCAGGAAAAATTTTATACATGATGCCACAGTGTCATGGGTGCACACTGTGAACTATGAAAATTTTGAGGTGAGTGTTGAAAAGGATGTTTGGTTTATCCTCAACGACAGCGTTCTTACAAATCTGCGATAACGAGATTAAATACCAATTTACCGGATAACTGTCAACGTTTATCTTTAGGTGTGCGTGACAGAAGCTGGAAGAAATGACCGCTCTATCCAGGAGTTTGCCACTGTGGACTGGATGGCCTACCAAGGAGCACCTGATGGCGGTGTGACAGGAAAATCACGCTTTTCCCGATGGTGGACTGGATCACACTGCAAAGAAGTTGACCTTCCCCAGGCAATTATCTATTTAGTGTCTATTTTGTAGAAGGGAGGAAGAAGTCTATTGGGACTAAGACGGGACGAGAAGTCATGTCACCCTTTCATTTTATATATCCATGATTATTTTCTCTCAAAATTTCGACGTTATCGTTTCAATCGACATCTTATTGGAAAATAATTTGTCTAATAGACCCAAGAAAATCTAATACGACCTTTCTCAACAAAGTAAGACGCTTTGAAGAAATCATTTTGGATAAATTATGGTTTACATACCATTAACAAGCGCCAGTTACCAGTAATAATCCCTTTGAAGGGTTTGTTTTGCGGGAAAATGTCGCATTAGGTTTTAATTTCTTGCTACGTTATCTGGGGACAGTAATGTGCATATTGAACAGGACGCCTGTTTTTGAAAACTAATCATCGTTAATCTGCTTGATAACTGACTTTGAAAATTGACGAAAATAATCTTATAATCTGTAACAAACGTACCAACCAACGTTCTCGCCTAATATCGCCTTAAAAAAGAAAGGAAAGCGGCGAATAGAAGGTGCAAAAAATTACTACTTTGTCTCAGGCACACAAATGCTTGGCATGCAAAAACGTATCGAGTCCCCGCGGATTTTTAAACATCAGATGATTCTTAAAGGGTGAAACATTCACAGCCTAGTTATATTTTGATCAACAGCGGCGTGCTAATAAAAAAATTGTTCAAATATGTCTATTTGTGAACTTTGTCCAAAAAATGGACCGGGCCCTGGATCCGTCTTAGGCGGAGGGAGAGGGGGGAAGGGACTTGTAGAAAAACTGATTACATTTTTATTGACTATGTGTCACAACTCTTTATATACCATAAATTGACATTTACGTGTATGACGTGGGTATGTCATCAATAGATTGATTAATGAGTAGTACTTATTTTCGTGCACATGTCTTTGGCGTTAATTGTGTTAACGCGGAAAACTTTAAATCTTAATGTCTCTCTATCCTTACAATTTGAGGCTAGCTTGTGCTACTTTTGAAGTTTTAACTTAATTGCTACTAGAGAACTGTTTGTCTCTGATTATTTTGGCGCTGATGTCTTTAGTCTTGTGCAAAATTCTATTACGTTTATGACGTATATGACGTGTAGTCCAACGGCGCGTAAACGGTCTAGGCGTAACCAAGGCATCACCTCAGCAGGCCGAGCTTGTTAAGAAGGAACTGTGTAACATTTTCGCCAAGTACGGTCTGAAGATTACTATCGAGGCCAATAAGAAAATAGTAAACTTTCTTGACGTCACACTTCATCTGGCTAACGGTAAATACTTGCCATACAACAAACCAGGAAACATTCCACGCTACGTCAACAAGAAATCTAACCATCCACCCCTCATCATCGAAAACATCCCAAAGTCCATTAACAAAAGGCTGTCTGAAGATTCCTTTAGCAAAGCGGCGCCTCTTTATCAGAAGATGACAGCGGGTACAACCACAAACTTGCGTTCCCAGTTCCTACAGCACAGTTTCCGAACTCTGGAAGAAGGAACCGCCATAGAGACATCATTTGGTACAACTCCCCTTTCAGCAGGAACGTGGCTACTAAAGTTGGACGGTCCTTCCTAAAGATCCTCGACGAAGAGTTCCCGAAGGGCCATGCGCTGCATAAAATCCTCAACCGGAACACATTTAAGATCAGTTACAGCTGCAAGCCGAATCTAAAGCAAAAAATTAATGGCCACAACAAATCCACCCTACGGAAAATAAACGCCGTACCACCTAAAGCTTGCAACTGCCGTCAACCAGCTCATTGCCCTCTGGACGGTAATTGCTTAAAATCAGCCATGATCTACCGAGCCACAGTAGCAACGGAGGACAACAGGCCAGCCGAGACCAATGTAGGCCTTACTGAGAACTCTTTTAAGACCAGATACTCGAACCATAAGTCTTCTTTCAGAGACCCAAACAAGAGACTCAGTACAGAACTCAGTAAGAACATCTGGCACTTGAAAGACGCTAAGATTGGTTTTAGCTTAACTTGGAAGATCGTAAAGCAAGCCGCGCCGTTTAATCTCGCTTTAAATCGCTGTAATTTGTGCCTGTAGGCACACAATTTGCAGAGCCTAGCTGGCGAGCTTGAACAAGCGAAATGAACTTGTAACTTTCTGCAGGCTCGCGCGTAAATTCCTTCTTAGCAGCTTTACATCTTCCGTTGGCACGCAATAGTTTTTTTTTTTTTTTTTCTTTCAAATTCCACCCGCGCGTTTGTTGTCTTGGCGTATGTTTTAACGAACTTTTCAAGTGAAGTGGGCCGGGTTAACAGAAGAAATTGTGAGGTGATGATTATAGTTCTGATTGTTGTTTTTTTTTTTTTGTTGGGGGGGGGGGGGGGGGGATAAAAACAGGTTTTTAACTGTTTGTTTGCTCTTTGAACTATTACCTTACAAAACTTCTCGAAGAAATTTTTCCCCAGAGTACAGGTTTTTGTACGAAGTCAAACAAATACCACAATAAGTAGTTTCGTCTGAAACACTAACTACGCTTAAAAAAATATGAAAGAAGGTCTTGTTTGATCATTTCCAATTTTACTCAAGCTTTAGCTACGTTTTTGCTTAAAGATGACTGGAGTAAATTATTTTGAAATAGCAAAAGACCGGCATGCGGCCACCACTGCGAAAACTTTCCTTCATTCACGAAATTCTATAAAAGTGGCAGACGATTGTCTTCGACTTAAGACCTAATTCACGACACCCGCCATCTTTGCATGCGCTTTAGGATTGATGGGATACAAACAACGTCATGTGGTACATTTGTATTTTAGGGGGCAAACAAGCGATAAAATTTGTCAATACAAGTAATCGCGGTCGAGTTTGTTTATTCTCTCAAAACGAGACGGCGATTTTATTCTTGCAAATTGTACCTTTCGAGTTTTTCAAGTTTTACGTCAGTATTGCTTGCTGTGAGGACGGACATCTACGGTTATTTTATCCAGAAAAGAAACAATGATCACTTCCACTTATAATTTGACATTACCGTCTTAAAGTTAAAACGTCTTTCATTTTGTGTTGTCTAGAATAAACAAATTCAACCGTGATTTCTTGCATTTAAAGCTTCTATTACTTTTTTGCCTCCTGAGAAACCTCGTAACATTGCTTTTATCCCATCAGTCCTTAAGAACGTATAGGGATGGCGTGTATCGTGATTAAGGTCTATTCCTCCAAGGTACGCATAAAATATAAAAGAACAAACTGGGGAGAAAAAAAAGTTGTGTACTAGGTTCGTGCAGACTGTTTCATTTATTTTTTATTCTAAGCTCTGTCTCTTAGCTATGTTCTTAAAAAATCACTAGTACATGTATTGATTAGTCAGGTTCCACTCATCGTTTCTGATTGTAGTCAATGAATTTTCACAGGGAAAGTTTGCTGCTGCTCCAACAGTCCTAGTTACAGCAGAACATATTAGTGCAGCCTTTAAACACGACGCGGCCAGTTTGTGGGTGGAGAACGCAACCAGTTCTTCCTTCTACATTTGTCTGCGAGAACTGCAGAACTATGATGGTCTACATGAGGATATCCTCGTGGTATTTTTATTTTTATTTTTTAAATTTTCTAAGAGGTATAAATTATAAACACCAAAGAAAAGTCACAGAAAGCAAAGCTTTAATAAACCTGGTATGAAAGAGAGGAATGAAAAAGAGAGACTTTTTGGCAAATAAATTGGCCATATAATCAATCAATTGGTAAAAAAGAGTCTTCGATAGTCTCTTCAAGAAAACTGCGACTATATTAGCGGGGCTCCCGTGCACGCGAAGCGCGCGTGGGACAGAGAATATGGTCAACCTCTTTTCGTTTGGTTGTCACGTGATTGACCGAGCGTACGTACGCGTCTACAGATTGTACGGGTGGGGTAGGGGAGGCTATCAAAAGGAAGGGAGTGGTGTCTCAGGCGTGTCTTGGCAAGTCCACATCTTTTATATAGGACATTCACAATGTGGTCAATTGACAGCTTTCAAAACAGGATAGCCACTGACCAGTATCCCATGAGCATATCGCGGGCTCATGTGTCAACTCATCGAGGTGACAGGATTTATTTGGAAACTGTCCGCTGACCAGTTAATTGTTTTACTAGATCGTGAACAATGTTCAATCTCATACTTTGTAGCTAGTTTGGGAGCACAGGAAAACTGATAATGCAGACATATAGGACATCAGTGTTTTAATCAATTGACAGCTGTCAAAACAGGGTACCCGCTGACCAGTATCACCTAACCGTATCGCGGGCTCAGGTGTCGACCCATCGAATTCAAGTATTTTTTGGGAATTTATCCGGTGACAAGTTACTAGTTTTCAAGTGGTCGCAGGCTCAAGTTTAATTTTTTAAAAAATTCATATGAAATATGCTGTGTTTATGTGCCGCACAATTAAAATTTTGATTTCAAACTGACCTCGGACGCGAAAATTCAGCCAGCTGTTACCGGCAGGGAAGACAGTTGCTTTTGACTTTTCTCACTAGGGTCACGCGTTGGTCACGCTCTACGTTCAATTTTTATGCTCTGATTGGTCAAAATTTGACAGGTGAGTTCATGCGGAAAATTTGTACAGCATCTTGAATCTTGTTTACTTTGAGAGCTGAAGCTGACAGAGTTTGTGTCAACTTGTGATGTTTTTAACTGTTTTTTTTTTCCACTGGATGTACAAAACGAAATTTAGCTGCTATCAGGAGTCTTCTGTTATTGATGGCTAGTTTGTTTATTGGGTTTTTGGTTGAGAAATACGTCGCTTGTCTAAGTCGGAAATGCGATTTCGGATGGCATCGTCTTCGTTTTCACCTTGCTTGATGCGTAAGAGGGTTCCAAAGTCTGAAGCGATACTGCCCTTACTTGATACCTTTCAGGAGCTGCATCTCGAATGGTAAGCCAGAGTAATTATTGTATCTGATGTTTGTTTTTTGTATCTAATTTAATGAAGTCGAGCGTAGTTTATGCGGGTATTTAGTTTATGCACGTTTGTAAGATTTGTTATTATATGGCCATGTCTCAAAAGGACTGGAAACAAACAAATTCAAAAATTTGATTGGCTAAAATTGATCTTGACCGCGGTCTAGATTTTCCCATCTAGACCGGCATCTAGACCGATCTTTTGTGACAGTTGTCCTTGAAAAGTCACAAACTGAAAGAATATGAAAAAATTGGCTTGTTGCTTTTAAAAATACCGTTGACTAAATGGAAGAATCAGTGGACCTTCACGAGGAAGCAGGTAAAGAAACCGAGCAAACGCTGGCAAATTTGAGTCCTGCCGAGGAAGCTACGAGCAAAGATGAAGTCGAAATTGAGAAATTTTTGAAGGAGCAGAAATCAAAAATATTCAATACAAGACTAAGAGCGATTTAAACGCATGGAAAAAATTTTGTGAGTCACTGAAAGAATCTAGAGCAATTGAAAACATACCTGCCAATGAGCGCGACCTTCTTTTGTCCAAATTTTTCATCTCCGTTCGTAAACAAAATGGCACTGAGTACGAGCCGGGTACAAAGACGCGTTTGCTGCAGCCAAACTCGATGAGGCAAACAAGAAGAAGGTTTCTAATCACTCCGTTAGAAAGACCAGTGTTGGACGACTTCTCGAAGCAGACGTTCAGCCAAACTTCGTTGCACAGCTAAGCGGGCACAAAAATTTGAAAAGCATCTCTGAAGCGACAGCGAGAAATGTCTGCTATCTTGAATTGTGAGCCAGGTACATCAGCTCAGTCCGAAGAAAACCAAGTCAGTACCTCCACTACAACACAGCAAAATGTCTTCACAGTCCAACAAATCCAGCCTCAGGCAATTTTTGCCAGAGCGCATATGGACAAGTCCGAAGGCTGCACATTTAAAATCAACGTTTTCTGTGGTGATCAGTCGAAGATCGCAAGGCTGAATGAGAACTGATTTCTGAGCGATCAAGGCAGAAACACGCATTACTAACATTGCAGTTGTACTTTAGGTCACTTTTCATAAGTTGTTGTTTCAACCCCCCCCTGGGGGGGGGGTACTCGATATATCCTCGGGTGGGGAGGTGCGGCCCGGCCCCTCGTACCCTGACCCTGTTTAAGACAAAAATCGCTGATTTTCCTACCCTGTTTAAGACAGAATTCCGATTTTTGATGGCCTGTTTAAGACATTTAACCCGAAACCATACCCTGTGTGAGACAATTAATAATATCGAAACTCTTTCTTATTTAATCCATTGGCAATCACAAAACTATTTACAGCTGTTTAAGACAAAAATTGATAAAATCAATACCCTGATTAAGACAAAAATTGATAAAATCGATATACCCTGATTAAGACAAAAATTGATAAAATCGATACCCTGATTAAGACAAAAATTGATAAAATCGATACCCTGATTAAGACAAAAATTGATAAAATCGATACCCTGATTAAGACAAAAAATGATAAAATCGATACCCTGTGTAAGGCAAAAATCCCGAAAAACATACTCTGGCTGGCCGCACGTCCCCATTGAGCCCTTATAAGGGAGTACCCCCCCCCCCCTCCCCCCGGGTTTCAACCACAAGCTTTTTCATTGAGCCTGTATGAAAAATTTTGTCTTCATTCATTGACAAAGTTTGAACAAAGCTGGACTTTGAACAGTTATTTTGTCCCGTTTGGACTGGAGACCAGTGACAGAAGAAAGCCAGCTAAATGGTTGAGCCCGCGCAGGGAAACAAATAAAATTATTTCTGTTTTTGTTCCTTTGCTTTCTTGTTTGGCCATATAATAAACATCTTATTAACCGAGCTAGGTCGGTCTGTATGGGAGAATCTTGACCGAGGTCGCTGGTAAAGACCTCACTGCGTTCGGTCTGTACTGGTGACCTCGGTCAAGATTCTCCGATACAAACCTCCCGCTCGGTTAATAAGAGCTAAAGACAATGATCTGACCGAGTATAAGGTTTGATATAAGCTTACAGAACTTTAAAAAGCCTTTAGACAGTTTCTCACCGCAAATAGAAAGAAAACGTTCCAAAGAATATCTAGTTATAATTCTGGCTGTAAAAGAAAGCTTTGAGCGATTTTCTTGCCTCGAGTTCGTCTTTGAAAAATGCAAACACCGGGAAACCGGCTTAAAACGTAAACTTAAGCTTTAAGCTTGAAGACTCAGGATTTTTAGAGACACTTTAATACTTGTCTTCCTGAGTGGAAATTGTTGTCTCTTTATATGTTTCACCGAATTACATTTCTTTATTGATTGTTAGAAGTCTCTCTTGTAATTTCAATCGCTGTGCCGATTGTTTTCAGTCGTTCAGTGAACATCGCTTGCAGGAGTACTCAAAATGCCGCGTGTTAAACCATTTTAAAATAAAAAGTAAACATAATAAACTCTTTATTATGTTGGAGCGTAACTCTGTTAATGTTCATTCAAACTCTCGCCACAGCTCGCACTACAAAAGTGAGAACCGGATGGCCGTATAGGTGATTTTGGAATTTTTTTTTCACAGTCTAGCTAAAAGCTCACGCGTACTTCCGTCGTCCTTAATATTGAATCAGTGCAATTTGAATTGCAAAATTGTGCAATAATGCTTTCTGTCCAAGGTCTGTATGATAAAAACAGAGCTTCATAGTACTGTTTTACCTCAGATGTGATGTATAAATGGTATAAAAGGTTGGTTTACACGCACCCAGATTTCTTGGCAAGATTTTTCAAAGTAAACTTGTCGAACGCAAAAAATTCGGCCTGATGTTTTCAAGAGCCACTATGGCTCTTAAATGAGATCGAAGGTGATTACCAGTTTTTGGGTGGACATATGAGGCTATCAACTAGTGTAAGATTTGGTTCACTCTTGGGCTGTTTGCAAATTATTTTTCTCTAAAATCATAACCTGAGATCAGGCTCAATTTTCGTTTCGCTTTGTAATAACATTCCGGCGGGCAAGGCGAAACGAAAACAGAGCCTGATACAAACCTTCTGCGAAACGTCTGCCGCCCACTTTTTTGATTGATTGACATTTGCCGAATCAGCCAACCAAAATTACTTCCGTTGCTTGTTTTTCTAGTATGCAAATTTTTCATGCGAGGGAAAAGTGCAGACTGGCTGACTTAAAAAATAGCTTTTATCTCTTAATTTTTTCAGCTAATAATAAAACAGTCAGCACCATCACATTTGACTTCTTGCGAGATTAAAGGAGATCTCGAAGGTTATTTCTGTTGGGGTAGAAGGTAAAAGGTTTTCGAAAACACGGCGACACGATGTTCTACTGGTTTTATTATTTTAGCTAGGCGCGCTCGAATTTAAAATACTGAAATTTCTATTTTTCTGTTGCCTTAAGATTTTCCTCCGCAATTTCCCCCAATTTCCAGTAAATAAATCTTTAAAAATCTCTTGAAGAAATATATCGCGAACTTTTTCAAAGGATATACAAATTATTTCAGAACAAACCAAACGAGGTCTGATTTAGTCATGTGCGTACACTGCGAATTTACTAGAGAAACAAACATCTAAAAAAATATATTCTTTACAAGAAATTCAGGGTAAATATTATCTGCCACTAACTGCATGCTCAACTTACCTATAAACAAAACGAAAAACGATATTACAAACACACTTTGTAGTTCTCCTTAGTTGTGTTGTTGTTTTACTGCAGGTCTAAAAAGCACGCTATATTTATTAATCGAAATAAACAAACAGCAAACAGCCAACGAGCGAGGACACCAGTTTTCCTGGTTTATTTCTTACAAAAAGCGGAGGCAAACAACAAAATGCCTACAAAAATCTCTTGAACAGCGATGCGATATTTTTCGTCTTTTTAACTTCACAGTTGGCGATTGAGGTTTCTTTCGCAGTGAGCCTCCGCTTGCGTACCCCGTTCAGAGAAGTCATTCCCGGCCAAACTTTCAAATGAAACCAGTTTTATGATGGACAGTATTTTGATTTGCACTCGTTTGTTTGTAAATCAAAAGGCACCTTGTTAGCGGTCAACAACTTGCAGAGGGATTCAACTCCGCGATACACTCACATTGGTTCCGTAACTAAAGCAAATCCTGAGAAGATATGAACAACCATATGAATTTTCTGAATTTCCATGGCACATATTAAGGCATACTTTCCTACCATAAGACCATAAAACAATAAAAAAGACAGCAAAATCGATCCTTGTCTCCGCCGACCTCGGGGTCATTCACGAAAACAACGCGAGGTATAAGCGCTTTCAACTTCCGGCGTTTCCGACAGCCAATCAGCGTTACGGCCAAAATCTTGCCGTAACGAGCACAAACGTGAGAGAGTTTGTATCAGGCCCAATTTTAGCGCTAGCCGTTAGAGAGAATGTATGAGAACCGCTAAAATTGGGCCTGATCTCAGGTTACTAAAATCACTAAGCCTTTCCCTCAAAAGTCACATAAATGTGCTCTAAAGTTAACTGAATTGTGAAATACAAGTTTATTGTTTGATTTAAATTATAAATGTATTAACGGGAGCCTCGCTTTTAGCCCTGGCTAAATCTATATATTAGATATCATCATATTATAAAGTTTTCAACTCCATGTTACAACAAGCGACTGAACTGAATCTTCAATATTCCAGCGGGAGCGGTGTCAGTGCCACTAACACTCAAATGTCTGAGATAAACCAGACATAACTAATCGATGATCAATGACATCAATTGGTAATCAGTGAGTAATCGATGAGTAATCAGTTGATTAGTCATTGATTATTGGCGATGATCAATGAGTAATCGAAGCCCCAAAATTTTGTGGCCTATCGATTACTCATCGATGACATCGATTACTCATTGATGTAATTGATTACTCATCGACGACCCATCTATTACTCATCGACTATTATACTGCGCACGAAAGACACTTTTCTTGCTTTCTTGTACCTTTTTTTTTCGTTTGTGATTCTTTTATCTGTGTTAGACGTTTTTTTCCCTTGTATCTGAAGATCCTGTTGACGATGTCGACACGCAAAGTGCTAATCACAAAAACAGATGATTCTCAGTTGTGCAATATTTCACTTTACCCAACTCTTTATTTAATAACAAAACAATTTAAGTCTTTTTAATTTTGTTTTTCTTCGCCAAATAGGTTGCAGTCACGAGATGATATCGATGAGTAATGGATGAAATCAATGACTAAACAATGCAATCAATGACTAATCGATGACCAAAAATTTTGTGGCCTATCGATTACTCATTGATCATCGGCAATAATCAATGACTAATCAACTGATTACCTATCGATTATCTATTGATTTCATTGATGTCATCGATTAGTTATGTCTGGGATAAAAGAATATTAAGTATTCCGTCTTTGATTCTGTCAGTCATCCCAAATTGCGCGGGATACTTTTAATCTTAATTAATCAGTCACGAGCAATTTTACCAAAGACTTAAAGAATTACGTAAGTTATTAAAGAACCTTTTTGAAACCCTTTGTCGACTGCTGTTGCTTTTTCAGAATTGGATGGTCTTTGAAACAATTCACCGGCCCCTTTTTGCTGAAAGCAAAGAAGTGAACTTCCCAAACAACAGTCCTGTTTCCGCAAACTACAATGGTGCATTTTGTAAGGTAGGAAGCGACTTATGCAAGGCAAATTACAATGACATTAAACATGCTGTCCGAATTGTTGTTTGTTTGTTTGTTTTCGTATTATTATTATTTATCTGAAATTATACGCACAGCTTTGTCAACTGGATCCGTCCCAAACGAAGGGAAGCGAGCCTGCACAATCCTCATCCATAAAAAGGAAAACGCTAATGACCCTGCTAACTTCCGTCCTATTACTTTACAAACTGTGCCTTTAAAGGTTTTTACCTCGTGTCTTCGTAATGCCATTTTCAACTTCCTCTCCGCTAACAACTTCATTAAACAGGAAGTTCAAAAAGGCTTTACACCAGGTCTTTCTGGAACTTTTGAGCACACTGCTCAAATGGTTGATATCATTAACAAAGCTTGTACCAAACAGCGTTCACTCGTCATTACTCTTTTGGACCTTAAAACGCCTTTGGTGAAGTTCATCACAACTTGATTCAAACCGCTCACTGGTGAAAAGTCTTTACACTGACTTCAAAACCTCCATTCTTACAAATGAATTTCGCACTCCGTTTATATCTGTTGGTCGTGGTGTACTCCAAGGTGATTGCCTAAGCCCACTTCTCTTCAACTTGTGTTTTAACACTTTTCTACAACATATTAAATCTGAAAAATACCGTGGCTTTTCTCTCAAGTTCTTAAATCCCATCCACTGGTTCCAGTTCGCTGACGATGCCGCTATCATAAGCGGTCAGGAATCAGAAAATCAACATCTAATCAACCGCTTTATAATCTGGTGTAATTGGTCGAACATGATAATAAGAGTTGATAAATGTTCTACTCTCGGAATACGGAAACTGTGCACTAAATCTGACCAATATTTACCCAAACTGTTGATCAAGGGAGTTCTAATTCCCTGTGTGGATATGGGTGATTCATTTTGTTACTAAGGTCGCTTCTTTGACTTCAACATGTCTAACAACCAACATGTCTCTTACAACCAACACATGTCTGAATTGTCCTCTCTTGTACAAGACTTGATGAATGACATTGATATAAAGCCACTACATCCTAAACACAAACTTCTTCTGTACAGCTGCTATGTCCTATCTAAATTGTCCTGGCATTTCACTGTAGCTAATATATCCAAAACCTGGATAACGGAACATCTCGACTCTGTAGTGAATGGCTATATTCGAAAATGGCTTGATATTCCGATATCTGGGACACTGAGCAATGTTTTCCTAGAACGCAATAAATTTGGTCTTAATATTTGTCCTCGCTCTATTAAATTTACTCAGTGCCAAGCAGTTCTCCGAAATTCATTAAAAGAGTCACCAAATGATTCCTTAAAAGATCTCTGGAAATCGTCAAGCTGTCACACTAATATTCAATATGATGTGTACAAATCCACTAAGGAAGTTCTTAAAGATTTCCGTTCTAGTCAAGAGGATAAACTGCAACACCACCTAACATCTCAAGGTTTCTTCTTCTTAAACGTTATCAAGTACTCAGTGTCATCTGTAAATTCTATTTGGTCAGAGGCCCAGTCTCATCTACCCAAGAACATTTATAATTTTACCATCCGCTACATCAACAACTCCCTCCCTGCACGTAAGAATATGGCAAGATGGGGATTATCACAAAGTCCTGATTGCTCCTTTTGCCTTAATCCTGAATAACTCCTTCATGTTGTCGCTGGTTGTCAACAGTACCTTGATCGCTTTACCTAGAGACACGACTCAATCTGAGACTTCATTGCCAAGTCACTTCAACCTGTAATTAATGTTCACTCTTCAATCTATGCAGATGTTAATGGTTTTCTGAATCCCTCAATAATAACTGGTGAAAATTATCGTCCAGATCTTCTTATCCTAATCCAGTCCAAGTGCCTATATGTTCTAGAATTAACAGTTGGTTTCGAGTCTAACCTTAACAACAATGCAGTGCGTAAGAAAGAAAAATATCTGAACTTGATCAACGAAATGAGTAGGAATTACAGATGTGTGAGATTTGTAAATCTCTCCATGAGTTCCCTTGGCGTTTTCTCCGATGAATGCTCCACGTTCTTAGACATGATGAATGACACTTGAATTGACAAAAAGCAGCAACGTTATATAATCAAGAAAATGATAAATATAGCCTTTAGAGCAACATATTACATCTTTTGTTGTAGAAATAGGAACTGGGATAGCCCAGACTTAATGCAATTTTCATATATATATATATATATATATATTTTTTTTTTTTTTTTTTTTTGGCTTTTGTTTTGTTTTGTTTTTGTTTTTGTTTTCTTTTTTTTGTTTTTTGTTTTTTTGTTTTAATCCAGTCTCAAGCAGCATTTGTAAGTTGCCTTTACGTAGCGAGATTTACAATTGTACATTCAAAAACACAAATAAAGTTTCCATTGTTATTATTTTTGCTTCCCTTTCTTGCTGCAAAATGCCTGAAGTAATCTCGATCATGATCCGTCGTTATCTTTTTTGTTCTAAAGGAATTTTATAGATATGGAAACCATGTAAGGGAACTTCTTCGAGTTCGCCTTGTTTCATCTAATACCTTTTTAAAAAGATTCTCCCTTCAGCGCCTTCACGTCAGCTCTCCACGAGGAAAATCCTGGGCAGTTTTTGACTCTTATCAATTAGTATCAAAAGAGCAATGAAATTTTCAGTTTAATGTTCAGTACTTTATAAGCAGCGTAGGTTTTCTATCCTTAGGACGAGCAATTTTCAAGAAATTACGACGAAGAACCCATAGTAATAATAGCAGCAAGTCACAGCTCAGAGGGCAACAACTTAAAACCAATACACATGTCTGTTACAGCATGGATTGAGGTATAGTAGGATGCCATTCTTGCAAGTTATAATAGAGAGGTCAGAATGCAAAAAAGGGCTTCCTATATATAGTTCAAAAGGGAAAATATTCTTGTGGAAGTTTAGCCAGGCTGTAAAACAATGTACACGTACTAACTTATGCTAACGACCATGCATTCCGTTTAAATCTCAGTTTATCAATTTCATTTAAATCTAACACATTAAGATTTAAAAGTTTTTTTTTTAGCTTTAACGCTCCCTTCCTTGCAAAACATGCCAGTTTCAATAAGTTTGCGTGCATATTATAGGACCCGATTCCAATGGTGCTAAGAGAGATTTTTGCGTTTTAAAAGAGCAATATACTGGTATCCTTCACGACAATATTTATTTTACAGCACATCAAGACAAGCGAATTACGCATTTGTCTCAAGGAGTTGTACGCTGACCGGCATGATCCTGTAAACGTGTCCTACGTAGTACTAGCAGGTGGGTCTGAAATCAAACGAAAAGGTTACCGTACGTCTGTGTAATTTCCTTTTCTTTTCCTCAGTTTATACAACCGAGTTTCCCTTTTCAAGAATTAGGACTTATTTGGTTTTTTTATCTACAGCAAACAAGTATAAAATAAACCTCTTTTGTTCCTGCAGATGTATGTAAACCTGGTTGGTCATATTTTGGTGGTATTTGCTACTCAACCAGTCAAACCTGTAAGAACTGGACTGAGGCCCAGAAAACTTGCCAATCATACAGCGCTAATCTAATCAGTGTACGAAACCAAGAAGAGAACGTCTACATTCAGCACAGGTTGAATGGCGCCAAGGGATGGATTGGACTGAGCGATAAGAACACAGAGGGAACTTTCGTCTGGGCTGATAATCAAACAAACAATTTCACTTACTGGGCTAAGAATCAACCCAACAACTTCAACAATGAAGATTGCGTTCACACCCTGGGAGTAAGTCACAGTTTCATGTGGAATGATGTGAGCTGCGGTACCTGCCATAACTACACTTGTTCAGAAGGTACCTAGGAACATTTTGCTCTTCAAATAGGCGATGTCTGATTTATTATTTTATTCTATTTTTATTTTTTTGTTAACCCACGGAGGCGCACACCTCCAAAGGCTTTTCTCCAATTTCAGTTTAAAAACGATTCTATTTCAGTACCAAAACAACAAACTGTTTAACTATATAACACACTTTTCATGCTAGAGGTGAAACAGGTTTGCTTTAGACGTTCCAAAAACAAGGAAAAAATCCAAGGTGGGCTCTTTTTCGAATGACAACAGCCTTTGCATTTTTGGAATACTTATCAGTCACTCCAGAAATGCAATGATTGATTGATCGATCTGTCGATAGAATGAATTATCGATTCCTCAGTTTATTTCTGGATTAGTTGGTTGGTTGGTGAGTGTATGAAATGAATTGAATATTGTTTCTTTTGAGCAGTGAGTTAGAAAATTTGATTGATTGATTGATTGATTGATTGATTGACTGATTGATTGGTTGGTTTTGAACTAAGATCTGGATGAATGTGGAGGGAATAATCATCATTGTCACCAGAATGCCATCTGCACGAACACTCGTGGCTCCTATAAATGCCAGTGTTCGACAGGATATACCGGTAATGGCTTGACATGCACAGGTAATAGTCTCCAGTGTCTTTTCCCTTGCAAAATAAAGGAACCGTGAATACCAGGAATAGTGTAATACCGCAATTCCAGGTTCTTTCAAGTTATTGTTAGTGTTGTTGTTGTTGTTGTTGTTATTATTATTATTATCATTATTTTACTTGTTTATTTTATTTTTTCTTATGTTGGAAAACAAAAAGACTTAAAAACACACACAAAAAAGGCAAGACATGAAAAGAATGCGCCAAATTTACGGCCATAGAACTAAGCCAGTTCTGATGACAAATTAAGTTCCAATGAAATCGATTCAAACTTTTTGTGTTATTTTCTATAAGGTTAGCTCATAAGCTACAGGGACAGTGCTTACTTCAAACACTTACTCCAAACTATTAAAAGAATTCATAATAAGGTCTTTGTAATCTACATGTAAAGTAAGCGTTATGAGTTCGGTACTAATTAATGTTAATAGTTTTTCTTCTCCTTGACTTTTTAAGATGTCAACGAGTGTTCTTCAGGTCACCAGTGTGACAGTAGTGCAACGTGTTATAACTCAGATGGATCTTACACGTGCTCATGTAACAGCGGATACACAGGGGATGGACTAACCTGCTATGGTAATTAAGTAGTGATCAAATGCTTCTTTTACAGAATAAATTAAACTACTTGCTGAGGGAAGAGAAGAGCAATTTTGTTCTGTAAACTAATAATAAAGAAAGACGCATTGTCTCAATCCCAGTGCGCCTTTAAAAAAAATCGCAAATTCATCTTATACAAAACCCAAGAAGAAAAACTCTGTGAAGTAGAGATAATAATTTAAACCCAGTACATCAAAAATAAATCAAAGAGAGCTTTCGTACTTGTTTCTCCGGTAATCCACTATGGCGAACCTAAAATAAGAAACTGGTTAATATTCTTCAGATGTGGATGAATGTTCGCTGAACACTCATGACTGTGACGCAAATGCAATCTGCACCAACACAGTAGGAACATTTACTTGCAAGTGCGATGTGCATGCACATTACATTGGTGACGGAAAGACTTGTACTCCTCACCGTAAGTCGATCCATTATACTCAGTTCGTTAAGTAAATTATTTAATAATTGGTAAGTTATTTATTTATACTAGATGTCTTATGCCCACCTCCACATGTAGCGTATTCAAATCGAATTTGCCCGTCCACACGTCTCCGGATTCGCTCTCAGTTCGTCAGCTAATTTGTAAAGCGATGTTCGGCTCATGCGGAGATTTTATCGCCATTCTTCTTTAATAACTATTTCGCTGACAACTTGTCCCGCCAAGCACAAGTTTGCTCGTTTAACTTGTTTACGGCGTCTAATTCGTCCGTGTGACATGGAAAGAAGCCTCAGAATGTCGAGCCGCCGCTTGGCAGAAATTAAATAATAGCTAGGTTTAGCTGCGCACAGTTATAAGACTTGAAACTGAAGTCCAAGAAAAAAGAAGGGAAAATATTGCGCTCTCGGCACCATGTTGAATATTCGCAGTAAAGTACTGGGCCCGATCTTGTTACGTCCTGAATTAAAAAAATGTAGTCCGGATTCATAGCGTACTCAAAAATTTCGACTCTGGAGAGCGGATTCCGCAAAAAGTCGCTAATTGCAATGCCGCATTCACCGGATACGTGTGGACGAAAGCCGAATCCGCAAAGAAAAAATTGCGGACTCAAAAATATCCAGATATGTGTGTAGACCGGGCCCTATTAGCAGATCCAAAGAAGCTATCTCACGGTATTGTGAGTCATTGTTTTGCAATGTACAATCAAAAATTGTCTGAAGATTAGCATTTGAAGTAGAAGAAACACTAATATTGAACTATAAAGAATTTAACATGGTTTAGACTAAATTTTTCAAGATACAGAGAAACCCTAACGTAGCTACTTCAAGGTCCTATCAGCTTGTGTTCAAAGTTACTTAAATTTCTTAATTAATACATTTATTTATTTTAACCACCAAGTGAGTGTTTTGTAGAAGTACAACAACATTTTACGTTTCTTCATTTTTACCCTCCCCTTAATGGACACTTTTAACTGGTCCCTAGGGTGTCCGCTTAATAAAACCGCAATATCTGCTATATCCAATGATCTATTCTTCGCTCGATTTCGGCTTTAGGTATACAAAAATTTAACAAAATAAAGCAATTTATATGTTTGAGTTCATTAGGGACCTTCTGCAGGGAGGGGAAAAAAATGGCCGTTGTAAGGAAGATGTTGTTAATAGAGGCTCGAGTTCAGTTGCTGTGTGTCTGCTACTTATTTTGGTGAAAAATAGTGGTTTCTAAAGCAAACTAAAGAAAGAATGTTTGCTTGTTTTTCTTTCAGGTGGACTCGGTAACTCAGTTATTTTGACGAATGACGTGAGTATGATGTCACAGTTAAATACATGGCTCTATCCCCACTTGCAGAGTTCGGACAGAAGTTACTGGACACTGTGTTATAGAGCCACCAGTCACGGTTGGAGCTCATCCACCTTTCACAGTTATTGTGATAACAAGGGACCTACTGTAACCATTGTAAGAGTTGGAGGCAGCTATATTTTTGGAGGATACAACGATAACTCATGGCAATGTAAGTCTAGGAAATAGCCAAGATACTAAGAATGTTCCAATCGATTGAAAGTTAATCACTCATACAATTTCATCGTAAGACAAACAACTTGTTGGACTCCACCGCCGCCCCAAACCACCCCCCCCCCCCCCCCCCCCCCCGTTGTTTTTTTTTCCCAATTTTTTGTACAATTTTATTAACTCTTTTTTTTTTTATGAAATTTATAAAATACACCCTGACACCCACTATCAGTGGTGCGTCACAAAACCCTATACAAGAAGCGCAAGCGAGAAAATTATAACAATAGGCAAGTGATACCTAATAATAAAACAAAAAACAAAAAATGTCCCAAAGCATTGAAATTTTCCCCCCCACACATTTCCCTCGAAAAACAAACCACTTTGTGGTCCCCCCCCCCCCCCCAAACCCCCCCCCCCCCCCCCCTCGTGCGATTTGGTTAATGTACCATATTGCGTTAACGTTTAACTCATCCTCATTTTCTGTATGAAATTTACCAATGAGCCCTTGCAGCTAACTGTCACGTGGGACTAAAAGCGCCTTGCTAAAGAGCACGTGACGTAATGGGGCAAGAAAAACGAAGACATTACATCATTTTAAAAGGTCCTACTGCTTTGCTTGCCCTCCAGCAAGTTGATTTTGTAGCGTTTGATTTTTTAGCTGCAAAGGGCCCTTAACGTCATCGAAAATAAAAAAAAGAGAAAGAAAAAATTAATTAGAAACGCTAAATAGAAGTATTTGAATTTTTCGTGAAGAGAGAATGAAAATCACATGCTCTCTTGTTTTCGTAGATGAAACAGGAAGGGCTGGTTTAGGAGTTCCGAAGCCGAAACAATTTGACTTAATCACCTGATGAATAATATACTCAGGCAACTCTGTTAAGGATCGAGGCACCCACTATTTTTATCATGCAAGAAAATAATGGATGAATGGATGGTCTTTCCCTAAAAGAGAACGTCCTATAATCATAAAACTCGGCCTCGGCTATAGAGCTGTTTGTGGGAGTTAAATTCATTCTAACTTAATATTATTTCCATTACAAAGTGACGAGTTATATTTTTACCTCCGATGTTTCTAAAAATTGCGCAAGTCTACTTTCCTCCAGCTGTTTCGAGAATGTATAAGGAATATTTTCTAAGAGAATGAGTGGTATCAACGTTCGGGAAACATCCGCGAAGTAGCAAATGTTTCTGCATTAAGTTCAGTCTTCAGAATATTGTCGCAATTACTGGAACCCTACTGTTAAATATATTCACCTCGTTATATGAATTTAATTGATAGATTTTCGCATTTGTTAAGATGTGAAGTCGAGTTTCACTTAATAAATACTTGAGATATCGACTACAGTCTACTGGAAGCAACTTCAACTACCCGTTTGCCGTTACGTATGTGTCACGGATGTGTTTATACGGGTATCTTTGTACTTGACTGTCACGCACTGTACTTGCAGCATTTCATTTCCATGAAATAGAAATCGCATGTCGAGCTCAGTTTCTGGAACGGATTAGCGCTTGATAGCGTTGATTCCTTTGGAATAAGGGATTGCTTCAATGGTCGGAAAAAAAAAACAATCTTAATGGGAAAAACTTCTATGGCAAGGCTAACTGGTCGGGTTTTGTAAACTTTCATTGTATGCAAATGAGACTTGTGATGAGCATACGGTTTATTTTCGGGGACAAGAGCCATAATTTTTTTATGGCTTTTGTCGAGGATGATTGAAATATCGCAAATCATCGAATACGATACAAAAAGAAAATTTCCTGAAGAATACCCGACCGTCGGGCAAGTATGGATTGAAAAACGTTTATCGAGGAGATCCTGTTTCATGTATAGTTAATCGCCTTCTATACCCACTTGACCGCGAGCAGTCTTATTTTTCTTTTGAGTCACAGTAGGTCGAGAGCATAATTTTACTTTTTCGCTCGCCGCTCGCCGCTCGCCGCTCAGAGGAAAGAAAGACGACCCCTCGCGGTCTAATCGCCTCCTCATTTCTTGTCTTATCTCAAAGCAAGCGAGACTCAACGCTACTACGCGAGACTCAACGCTACAACGTTCTTGTTGTTCTTTTAACCTATTTCCATTTGTTTACAATAACATTATGTGGTGGAATAAGCTATTATTTTGTTATATGTTTCTAATACTTTATGTATTGGATTGTTTTTGTCCTATCAGGGTATGGTTATTATCAGTATTCATCAAATACGTTCATATACTCACTAAGAAACTACTACCATTACGGATACTTCAAAAATGACATAAACGGCTACCATGGATATGCCACTTACAGCTACTACAGCTATGGTCCAACCTTTGGCGGGGGCCATGACATCTACATCGCAGACAACGCGGGATACAACTATTATTCTTACTTTAGTTGTTCCACATACACTAGTCCCTACTGCGACAACTATCTGTGGGTTGGAAGCTATAATTTTTGCCCAGATGAGTTAGAGGTTTTCTATGAAGTGCTTGCCTAAAACCAGACTGGCAAGATCTAAACTAGATTAACTCTGTTTCATATGATGTATTTTAACTATACAACCTTAGAAATCAGAATGCACTATTTTCCTGGCTGCGTGGCAAGTTCAAAATTCTCCAAATAGATTCATGATTCGTGATTAGCAAGTTTTCATGGAAACGGATATTATTTACAACACCATGAGAGGATACTGTTTACCTTTTCAACCACAGGTAACCCAAACTCGCATTTTGAGCCCTGTGTGCTTTTACGCTGTTTGGTAACGAACCAAGTAATAGGGCTTGGCTAGAAACGCAAAAGGTCGAGGATATCGCCGTAGGCTAGCTTAAGGTGCATTCTGGTTGCTTTTTGTGAGAAATGGGTTGATTTGAGGGGGAAAGAAATTAGGGTAGGATAAGGTATACAGATAAAGCAGTTAGGCGCCAATGAGCTCAGAGGAACCTTGCTGTGGTGGTGGACTATCTAGTACTTATCTACTAATTATTCCCTTCAGATTTTACTCTTCAACAACCCCCAAATCAAATATTTTCCAATTTTCCATGACTTTTAAACTTTCCCCCTATTTTTATTCTTTAAAAACAATCGAAAAATCCTCCAAAAACTCTCAAACATTTATTGAGCCAATTGCTACGACCTTATCGAGCCATTTTTTGACTGAATGAAATCTTGGCTATTTTGGGGGAAAAGAGCAGAACCAAACGAATAACCAGATTCCCCTTAAATTAGCTAAAATCTCACCCTCTAAATGCATGTGTTAGTTACAGAATGTAAGCTATGAGAGAGATATGCATTGTGAGTGGAATAACAAAAAAAAGTTTCAGATGCTTTGGGGGCTTTTAATTTAGCTGTTTCTTCACTCGGAAATAGAAGCTCACACTATCTCGCACCCACAGTCTTACGAGATTGAGCTCATTAGAGTAATTTCTCATTGCTAATTTAGAGTTTATAATTATTATTATTATTATTATTATTATTATTATTATTATTATTATTATTATTATCATTATTATTATATTATGCCGGTAAAAGTAAATTATAATTATTTTACACTATATAAAGCTTCGAGTTTAAACCTCAAAATAATTTGATCAAAAAGGTTAGCTTTTTCGTCTTTCTTCGGTGCCGCATGTTTATACGAGTGTAAAACAGAGTGAGATCTGGGTACGAGATTACGATGAACTCGCTGTTCGAGGTTGTCCGCTATAGTCAGAAGTGAAATGAATGAATGAAAATTGATCTCTCTTTTTGATATACAAATCATGTCCAGTGACATACAAATCATGACAAAGAGAAAGTAAAATTAACTATTACAGCTGATTCTTAAGTTGCGGTACCAGCCGATTAAAAAATGAATTTACAAAGAGGGGTACGAATTGCTCTTACTGAAAAGAAAACAACAGCTTGATAACAACCTGCAAACCATTAAGCTGAAACTTATGTCATGTTAGGGCCCTTTCAAATGTGGAATTTCTTATGAGTGCCGAACACCGATATTAGTCGATGAAAGTATTAAATACGGCAGTTGATTCTAACGTCGGATATGATGGTGCCGAATTTAACTCCGGGTTTTCGCGTGCAGGGTTCAAAAGAAATGTTTTAGCCCTTCCAGAAAAACTAATAGCGAACGTGACGCAGCACCTACTACTACCGTTTACATCTCATGGACCGACGAGAGCGAGCCGAATGCCTTTTGGAGAACGGCTCCTAGCAAGGCCGCAGCGCAAGCCGCACATCACCGGTGAGGCTCCGCGCCATTCAAACCACCAGCAAACAAACGGTAAACAAAACGCCACCCTCAGCGAACGGTTTTTCGCCCGGCTGCGCCGTAAGCCGGGCGAGTGACTGCGCCTCTGTTAGAGAACCGCACACACTCTGCATACAGCGATGATAAATCAGTCGGACAATCCCGACTATTTATGGGATAAATCCCTTCAAGAGTTGGTGGCGGAAGTTTCGTCGGACGAAAAACAAATGCTGGAGCAGATGAGATTGCAGCGTTTGTCTAAACACCGGTCTGCTCAAAAATGAAGCCACTCGCTGTGGAAAGTATGTGCCAAAAAAACAAAACAAGACATGGACTTATTGATGTGCTAAATTACGATTTCGAGGAATACAATTTGAAAACTTCACCTAATGCTTGATGACGAAGTGATGATTTATCTTAATTAAAATCATAGAGGCGATCGCAGTTCAACGACTGTCACGAAACAAAGAAGTGTGTGACATTCCCAAGCGACCCGTTCATTCCAGAGCGACCCCAACATTCCAATGCGACCCGAAAAAAGTTTCCTTCAAGAAAATATTTTGCTCAAACTTTTTTGAGGGGTCGCATTGGAACGCGGAGTCGCTCCGGAATGTAGTATATCGTTTGCCTTGTGGTGTATTCAGGGGGCAATAAAAAGATTTCATCATCCGCTGGGTTTTCCCCTTTGATATTGTATTGCATGTCTTGTCGAAGGTTACGCTTTACGTACCGTATCAGACACAAGCAGATTGAGTAGTATAAGCTGGGTGGTGTTTAAGAAATGATTGCCAAAGAAAATCACTTTCTGATGTTTTGCCGGACGTAGCAAAATCAATAATTATTGGAATATAAACACTATACTTATTTCTTTCAAAATCGGCAAAATCTTTCAAAGCGTGATAAACCACAACAACTTGGCATGCTGAATGAATGGCCGAATTTATACTAGAGACGAGTTATCCGTCTAGTGGATTATCCGTCAGACGGATAATTCGTCCAAGTATAAATCCGAAGACGAATTTTGCTCCATAATTTGACCAGATATTTTAAGCGAGAAACGACCTCGGGAAACCACAGGTAGTCCAAGCTCACTATGAGTGCCCTGAACGACATTATCCTACTTAGCTAATTAATTATTCATACAGCAAGAGAATTATAAGACGTTGTATGGAGAAATATTCTTTGCTCACTAAATTAGCAAAATGTACATTGAATATCGCTTTGAAGCTTACCTTTAGCGTCTTCTTGTTTTTCTTTGTATACTGACTGCATTTCAGACCTCCTAGACACTGTTTAAGGCCTTTTTTGGAGCGACAGTCGTCTCAGTTATCGCAATTCATATTCTGTCGCAATTTTCTGTATAATTTTTGACATTAGTTTGTAAGCTTCACCGTTTATTTACGATAGTTTCGCTCGAGAGTTCACAGCAACAGTATCTCAGTCATCATCTACCTTTTGTTCAACCTTGTTTTTAGCCCGCCTTGTAAGTATTTCGCTTTGTTATTTCATTAGTTTCATTATTTGCATTCCTTAGTAAAAGAAATGGGGCGCCTTGTAATTCGACAGACTATCCTGGTTTTATTTATTCTTTTTGGCCATTTAAATTTAGGCGCGTGTGCGGGATTTGCTCTGGCGAATTGTGATTGGCTAGGAAGAACAATTGTCTTCTATTAAGTAGTTTTTCAGCAGGGTAGGGTGGCTTTGGGCAAATGATGTATCGGTCCCCAGAAAGGTCACCTCAGGACTCCCGGGAAGGATTTTTTCTGTACAGTGCCCAGGCCTCATTTTCCTGGCCGCGCGTTGATCTGGCCCGGCTGCTTCGGCGAGCGTATTCTCTCGGTCTGTTCGGATTATATCCTTCGAGTTTGTCAAAGTCTGTTGGATTTGTTTCTCTATCTGGGAAAGTTTCATTGGTTTCTATATCTGCTGCTATCCTATTTCTACGATCCTGACATGTTTATTTTCCGTTGGAGTTCGAATTTCGTGGAAAAAGTTGTGTTGAATGAGAGCATGTCGGCGAAAATGGCACCTCGTGTTTCCTACCTTGTATATTATTATTGTAGATAGAGTGAATTTGAAAAAATTACTGCAAATTATCACGAAACTTCGTTGGAGTAATAAGGACAACAACAATTAACTGCAGAGTAAGTTTCATTGATCTTTATTTAGTATTTCCTAGAAATTTTAGGATGGTATTTTTACCCCATACAAACACTGTAATTTTACTGGAACCGTACTGTGGTACTATGACAGAGCCTGGGTTACCTGTGGTCACATTTCATAATTTGAGAAAGAGCGTTTTGATTTCTCCCTTGCGCATTTTAAGCAGAAAGGGCGCAAATCGTTTTCCTTTTCTACAAAGCAGTCTCTGCCGAAGAAAGCTGTTGTGTTGACTCGAAGGCTGTAAGGGTCTCTTGGACAATCGAACGCGTTTCTCTTTGCCATTCAGGAATGAGAAATTCGTTCACGAAGACAGGGCTGAATAACGTACTACGCATGTCCGTGACATCACTTGCTTACCAACCATAGCCCGTGCGCGAGGCACTCGTGCGAAGTGAAATTCATGCATCTGAGACCATCTTCGATCATCTGTGAAACCCATGTTTGTGAATTGGTCAGTGTAAAACGCAGTCTCTGCGGACTGCAGACTGCGGACCAGGGGTAAAATGTAGACTGCGTGTAAAATGCAGACTGCAGACTAACAGTAAAACGCAGGCTGGGGTAAAATGCAGACCAAGCATAAACTGTAGTCGTGGAAGGGTTTAAGCGCAAAAAAATCCCGCAAATACATGTAAACGAACACTTACTTGACGACATCTGCTTTCACAAATCCATTCCTTTCTTCTCTGGAACGTCGTCGACGACCCGAAAACATAATCGCAATCTTGAACCTTTTTTTCCGTTCGAGAGACTCTGCGCTTCAATTTTCGATATACGTGACCAGGGATCGTGAACTGGTACAACACCACGATGTTTACGCTTAAATGAAAGCTGCTGACCCAAAATACTGTACAGGAAGAATTATGGCGATAAAAAAGGGAGTAAATTATTCCAACAACAAAGAAAGATGTTCTGTAGGAAACCTGGATGACTTTCTATGAAAGTATCGCAAATTCAAGGTACGCAGACTTAAGCTGTTTGGATGTTCATTGAAACTTCTCGCGAATGTGCAATGCACTTCGACTAGGAAGTGAAGTGTATGACTGATACCGGCTAGCTATTTCACCGATTTGGAGAAGAAGGAGCACAAATGT